GGCACAGCTCAGGCCAGGGCCTCTCGGGGCCCCTCCACCTCCTGGTATCAGAAATACCGGAAGCGCTGGCCAGGGGTCTCTGGGCTGAGTTCATCTGCCATCAGTGTGGGCAGACCCTGGGTGATCTGGGGAGCCAGAACTGATGCCTTGCTCCTCTGGGCAGCCATCGTACCCCTTCCTGGGGAGGGAAGGGTGGCCGCATGGTCCAGGGCACCCCCTCTGGACCTGGAAACACAGAGGTGGGCCTGTGAACACAGCTGAGGTTGGCCTGAGATAAAGTGGGACCTGCAGGTCTGTGCCCTTTGTGTCCATCCATGTGTCAGTGAGTTAGGATGAGGGTATCTACTGTTCTGTCCCTGAGCATCAGCATCTTTGCTCACCTGTGTGTCGATGTGTCTGAGGAAAACACTGAGGTGGCTGTCTTTGTCTCCCAATGGCCCCTCTTCTTGCCTGTCTTGAGGGTCCCTGTTCTGGCTTCCTTGTCTCCTGTATTCATCCCCCACAGAGAAAGCCCAAAGAGGTGGCTGAACACTGGACAGCCAGGGATTGGATTTGACCAGCAGATGGATTCCCTTGACTGCCCACCCCATGTTATAAAGTTACCAGAAGCCAAGAGGTGGAGACAATCTAAATGTCCATCAACAGATGAATGAACAAAATGTGGTGTATACATACAACAGAATTATTACTCAGCCATAAAGAGAAATAAAGTCCTGATACATGCTACAACATCGATGAACCTTGAAAACATCTACGTGAAATAAGTCTGTCACAAAAGGACAAGTATTGCATAATCCTACATATATGAAATATCTAGAATAGGCAAATGTATAGAGACCAAAGTTTATTACTGGTTACGGGGGAGGGGGTGGCGGGGAGGGCCAGCGAAAAAGAGGAAGATCCTCAGCGAGATGGATTGACACAGGGGATGCAACAATGGGCTCAAACATAGCAACGATTGTGAGGATGGTCCAGGACTGGGTAGTGTTTCATTCTGTTGTACATAAGGTTGCAATGAATCTTACGTTGTACATAAGGTTGCACCTAACAACAACAACCAGGGGGCAGGGAAGGGAAGCAAAGGGGGAGTCATTTCTTAGGGGGCACTGAGTTTCTGTTAAGGGTAATGGAAAAATTTGGAAACGTGATGGTTACACAGCATGATGAAAGTACCATATTTTTACACAAATAATGTGCACCTTCTGTTTGCCAACTGCACCCTTCCCCCCAATGCAAGGTATTTTCTTAAGCACCACTATACCAATTTTTTTCACATGCTGCTGTTAAAAAAAAAAAAAAAGCATAGCTCATGATGAAAATACTACATGGCAGAGGATACAGTTGGTTGGCAAACAAACGCAGAAGGTGTTATTTGCGTAAAAAATATGGAAATTAATGTTACTGACTTGCACATGTAAAAAATGTTGAAACAGCAAATGTTTTGCTATATGTATTTTTTTTTTTACCACACACACACATAAAGTCATCAGATGGTAGTGGAAATGTAAATGGCATAGCTAATGTGGAAAATACACTTGTAGTTCTTCAAATTGTGAAACATACAGTTTACCATATGACCCAGCAATTTCACTCCTAGACATCTACCCAACAGAAATGAAAACATATGTCCACACAAAAACTTGTACCCAAATGTCAGAGCAGCAGTATTCATAATTGCCAAAAGGTGAAAACAACCCAAATGTCCGTGAACTGGTGAATGCATAAGTAAATGATATAGCCATACAATGGATTATTCAACAATGAAAATAAATTAAATACTGATAAATGTACAATATGAATGAACCTTGAAAACACTGCGCTAAGTGAAAGAAGCCAGACACAAAAGGACACATATCATATGATTC